TCAGATAACCTACTCCATCCTCAACGCCTGTACTAATATTCCAAATGGCCCCTTGCTTGCTCTCTACAATATGTCTTATGAACATGGGGTTCTCCCGTTTAACTGGAAAAATGCCACTATTATCCCCATCCCTAAGCCGGGAGATCCTGGGAAATATCGACCCATTAGTCTTACCTCCTGTGTTTGCAAAATGATGGAGAGGATACTCCATCGTCGCCTTCTTCACACCATAGGCGGCTTCCACAACTCCCTCGGTGGTTTCATACAACATCGCAGCACATCACACTGCATTGTTTCCTTTTATTGCAATCAGACTGCCCGTGTCTCCGTCATCCTTGATATCAAGGGAGCCTTTGGTACGGCTCAGCCTGCCCTCATTTTAGCTGAACTTGCGCTGTTAGGGGTTAAAGGGAGACTTCTGCAATGGATCGCCTCTTACCTCACTGGACGTCAGGCCCGGGTTCTCGTTGAAGGCTCTATATCTCCTGTTGAAGAAATGAACCTCGGCACCCCTCAAGGTGGAGTCCTGAGTCCCACCTTGTTTAACACTCTCATGCACTCCATTGCATCTCTCCCGTGGCCGACAGAAGTTGTCCACTCAGGATATGCAGACAATGTCCTCCTCCAAGCCCCTGATTATCTCAGCATGCAGGAAGCCCTTGATATGGTCTCCAGAGAGTGTGATTCACTTGGTTTCCTTCTTTCAACTGCGAAAACAAAAGCCAGGTGACACGGTCGTGTTGTACCTCCTCCCTTCTCTTATGAGGAACGCCCTTGGACTGGGTTAATGAGACAAAATACCTGGGTGTGTATGTAACTCGCACACGTTGTCAGATCCCTGAAGTCCGCCATCTTCGAGACATGCTTTTGGCGTCTCGCTCCCCTCTCTACCATGTGCAGGGGTTCCCTTGGTGCCACCATCCCTGTACTTCTCACCATGTACAAGTCCTTTGTCCGTTCCTGTGTAGACTACGCCACCCCTGCCCTCGTCAACATTAGTAGGACTACTGTCAACCGTCTCGAAATTATCCAGAGGAAAGCTGCTCGCATCATCCTTGAGGCTCCTCAGTGGACACGCTCTACTTCTCTATATACCGAACTTGGTCTTTCCCCCTTACAGGATCGTGTCCAGGAGTTTTACCTAAAAACTACCGTTTCCATTCTACGGGATCCTCGGGGCAACTATGTCCAAGCCAACTTGACTCCTGCTGTCCGAGGCCGACCTCCATCTAGAAGACAGTGGCGAGGGTCACTCATTCGAGCCCTTCAGGAACACGACCTCCTGCCTGATATTGTTGTCACCCCTGCTGTTGGTTCGTCTCCTTCTCCCTGGCTGGATTTTCAACCTGAAGTGATTGCCCTCGGTGGACCGCTCCCGAAATCCCACGTGAACCCTGTTATTCTCTGCAAATACCACCTCTCCAGGATCGCCCACTGGTCCACAGGTAGGGTCGTCCTCTACACTGATGGTTCTGTTGACCCCGCTACAGGTCGGGCCGGGGCTGATGTCTACATCTCCCGTCCTGATGCCCCTGAGCCTATCAAACTGTCTCTCAGAATTTCTGACGGGGCATCCTCCACTCAGGCTGAACTAATAGCCCTCCTTGCTGCCCTTCTTGCTGAGGAAGAAGCAGATGGTTTCTGCCCCTTGCTTGTCTGCTGCAATTCCAGGTCTGCTCTCGACGGGATCGCATTTGGATCAGGGGAAAATATGGACCTCATCCTCCGAATACGAGGGTTAACATCCACACTTCAGGATGCAGGCCGTCCTGTGACATTCCTATGGATACCCAGTCATGTCGGTATCTTGGGGAATGAGGCAGCAGATGGCCTTGCCAAAACTGGCTGCAACAAGGCCACACCTGACTACGTTGTTCCTCGAACACTTTTACAGCTTAGAACCCAAATTCGTCGCAAACAGAGAGAAGCTCGGGAAGCAGCCATCCCCCTGGACTCCCCGCCCACCTGGTACGATGTCCTCCGTAAACTTCCTGACCTCTTGTATGTCTATGGGAAAGGGTCGCGGAAAGGGGACGTGATTGCTGCCCGTATCATCATTGGGTATGACTTTGCCTGGGAGATTGGTATCTCCGCATCCCCTGAGCAACGCTCTTGTGCATTATGCAGAAGACCCGACAGCCGCACCCTTATCCACTACCTCCTAAGATGTCCCCACACACAACGCTTCCGTGACGCCTGCTGGACCACCACTCCACGACCCCCTGATGGAGACACGATGATCCTCCCCATACTGGCCAGATACTATGTAGTTAACATTGATTATGTGTTAAAGGAATATCCTTCCTTCCTTAGGCTTTAGTAAGCCCCTTTATAATATTTATTCTGTATATACTTGTCACACTTGCCAGATGCTTCTGGTGTCATTGTACAGGGGTACCTAGTGACAGCATTAGGATCCCGCTTCCTCTATCAAGGAATAAACAATTGAAATTGAATTGAGTTGATACAATGAAAATTTGATTTATGTTTTGTTTGGTGACGATGTCAAAATACCATTTATAGATCTTAGGTAATGTAAGAAAAGCCTGACGGAACTTACGGAAAATGCAGTGATTCTCAGCAGCATTGGAATGAGCTCCCCACACTCTATGTGTGGTTGGTTTGTTCTTGTAATGTAAGACAGGTAATGTTAAGCTCTGGGTGGAATGATGAATCACTGATGATAACTCCCCCTTAACCTAACCTAAACAAAACATCGGGATTGTTTCTTTGATAATACTTCAGAATTCATAAGCCACTTACATTAGTGGCAAAAAAGGGTACGTTTTTCCTATAACTTTATGTGAAAATCCCTACAATCTGGTATTTTCCACTGGCAATGAGTTAATCCTAATGCTGGCAGAAACAAAGTACTGTACTGTACTCTCATAACATATGCCTTTGTTTAATTTAACAATTTACGTATATACATGGATATTATGCATTAATATATTTGTGAAATTTTTGGATGATTTTTCCTTTAAAATACTGTACTCTTGATCATCCATATATTATAACATATCCTGCTTTTAATAAAGACTATAATCTGACATTAGCATTATCATTGTATTCCTACCCTTATTATTATTACAGTTTATATTTAACATTAAAAATGCAGAAATAATTTGCGATTAACATTGCAGACTGTATTGTGGATATTCTTAAACCATTTAATTATCATCTTGTTCTATGTTTAACATTATTAGTCTCTGATTAGTTAGTAGAATTTCATGAATATACCTACTGTGTATGGGTACCATGACATTTGCTCACAAGATGAACCTAACATAACATAACCTAATCTAACATGTCTTCCTTTTCATTATCGTTGTGATTTTTTGTCTTATGAGCATTTGTAAAGCCTTGTAAGCATTTGTCTTGTGAGCTAATGTCCGCACACCATCTATATCATGCCTCTCTGGTGAGGATCCATATATTTACATGTAATATTTTTCCAAATAAAACACCCTTCAAACAGCAGATACTTTTCTCCAGCTGCTGGTTTAGTCCATGCCATTAACATATTGTATGCATTTTTACTCCTGACATTGGGAAAGTGTTCATGTCTTGCTATCTTTCTTAGGGTATTTATTGCATTACTATAATCAGGTGGAGACAAGTAGGAAACATTATCTCAAGGTTTCATATCTTGTAGATAACTGGCCTTTATACTTGTATAATATGAAAGAACAAATTTTTGGTACAAAGATAATTTCCTGTTTGATAGAAAACTAACAGTAATGGTGATATTTTTCAAGATTTTATTCCAATTCATTTGTACAGCGTTCATAACTGCCATAGCAAAAGTATAATACCTAATACTGAACTTTGGTATATTCTTCTGACTTCATCAACATAATTCTCTTTACACTCACCCAACCCCAAGTTTGTGACAAACTTAATACTTTATTGTTAGATTTAATAAGGACAAAGAATAATGAAACAGATACTACACTCTATTCCTACGTTCTTATGGCTGTAACAGGCTTTATTTACCTACAGCATATTCACTGTAATTGATCGTATTTCATACCCAGAAATGGCTTATAATCCAAGAAAATTGGAAAATGAGGTGCACCTTAGCTTGGGATTCAAGTAATTAATGCTGGTAAATCGTGCGGGACGAGCAAACGTTTCGTGCCACTGAGAACGTCTTGATGGTCAAAGCGTACCAACCTCCCAGTCTTCCGTCAGTTGGTACACTTGACTACACCAGGATGACGTAGTAGCAACACCCGACAGTCAGGCACCACCATGGCCATTCTTGAATAATCGGTAAACTTTTCTTCCACAGTATTACGACCGCCAGGATACCATGGCATCGTGTACACGACGGCAGTTCTTGCATTTGGCCCTAGAATCAGACAAAGCCCGGACTTCCAGGAAGGCAGACATACATTTGTTAAACTTGGGGACCATTTACTCAGGCTTTGTATCTCAGTACTGCTCTAGTGATTAGATTAGGTGGCCATTGGTTGTGTAATTGTGTTGAGAGTTTAAGGATTAGATTGTTGTGTTTGTATTTTTGTTTGAAGAGATGAACCAGGAACTTTGAATGGTCGATGTCCAGATTATGATGTACCTTACTGTACACGAGTTTAGTTTATATTACTTTATCATTTGTTATGCAAAGTATCACACTGACATTATATTTCACAATAAATTACCTTAATTCATTATGTGTAATGTGAAATCATGAAATGTCAACCCTAACCCTCCTGAAGCAGTCAACAAACATGTTCCATTTGTTGTTTGTTACTTATTCTCCCAGAAACTTAGAAGTACCGTTATATTAAGTTAACCAATCCATGTCCATATTCCATATTGCAATATAACTTTTAGCCATTAAACTATTAAAATGTTATATGATTTCACAAGATCCATAAGCATTTTAGTAGCTGTGTGTGCCCTTTGGCCTTCCTGTGCAAAATTGCTATACATGGCATAACATTACATGTTGTAATTGATGAGAAAAAAATATTATTGGATATTTAACTAACCTTGTTGTAATAATATACGGAGTAAGGTGAAGCCATCCGTCACCCATACCCATTGGTCAGTATCTTTCATAGAGCAACACAAAGACAAGATGAACATGGCCGCAGGCAGCAGCAGTAACGACACCAGGATGAACGCCCACACCAGTGGTGCCAGGGGCAGTAGGAAGCCCCATGGGTCCAGCTCTGGCCGTCCGAGTCCTGCTAGGATCCTTGAGTACGTTATAGACACTGGCCAGGTGAAGTCCAACACCTCAGCCCGGCTGGCTGATAGACTGAAAAATCCTACGGAGAAGTCTGCCTCCTATGTAAACCCAGCAATAGAAACAATACATTACAGATGTGTGATTGATGAAAGTGCGGAGATTAGTCATAAAATAATAATATAATGACACATTTCTTATTTTCCTTCTGGTGATAGTTTGAATATATCCACAAGCTGGTACATACCATAGTCCATTGTCTCTCGTGCATACTACAGGCCAGTAACTCTACAGCTTTACTTTTTCACGCTGCTACAATTGAAGTTATCACTTAACTAATAACCTGATCACTAAACACACGCCCGATAAAAAACTCTCACCTTGTTTACTGTTGACGCTTCATACCACTTACCTCTCTGATCACCATGCCTACCATTCCCGACCACGACCCGTCATCTTGCTCAGAGCCAAACGTCCCATCAGCAGGGTGCACGTACTTGTACCTACGGTAGGATAATTTATAGAAGATACCGAATGCAAAAAGTCAGGACAGTATAATTTTCATAATATTCGAATAAAATTTCATCCTTATCCAAAGTGTGCTGTTGATTATTAATTAGGGATAATTTACTCATTACGATCTACCTCTCTATATTCTCCACCTTGTCCTCACCACCACACACTTTCCACACATAAATCCAGCCCTCACAACCCTTAAACACAGCACTCTCCACCCGCACGAGTATACCTAATACTCGACACCCATTAATTCATGACACTTTACCCGTCAAAAATACATCCATTAACTATAATCTCACGTAAAGTTGAGGCCTTGAGACAAGTAATCCATCATGTGGCTCTTTTGTCCCTGAGCACTCTTTTGGACGTGGATATACTCCGCTGCCACGGCAAGGATTGGTCGGTGAAGGAACCTACAGTAAAAGACGGAAGAGGTTTTGAAATAGTGATGATTGTGTATTGAAAGAATGGGAGAAATGAATCGATAAGAAAATGATTAGCAAGTGATGATAGCTCGGTCTCTGTGGTAATTTCAAAGGTATCGAAGATTTACGAGGATAACTCTCTAGTAACTTCCAGATTGTCTATAATTAAATGGGTTTTATGAAAATTACCTCTAAAATACAGTAATGCAAAAGTCCAGAGTGATTAATGGAAAATTTTAGAAGACATAAAATTTGCTGTGTTCTTGAAATTCACTCAGATATGTCTTAATGTGGCCCAGATTATTATGATTTGCGGGAATCGGCGTTGACCATCTGTACATAAATGATTTCAAAACAACAACAAAATTTGTACAGTTTGCCACTAAGGATTAAGTCGAGTACCTCTAGCTGTACTTACTTGGAGTATTTGTCAGGGAAAAGCGGCAAGTGGGTATTGAGGGTGAGACCTCGCTGGGGCGTCCAGAAGGCAAGACGCATCGCTCGGTCCTCTGGAGAACTGTATGGTAAGTGTATGTACACATTGCACCTGTGAATAATACTTTTACTATAATAACTGTATTGGTAATACTTTCAGGATAACAAGCACAGCATGCTTCTTCTTCGGGGTAAAAAATGCAGTATTAATGATATTTCAAAAACCAATCCCAGCACTTTTAAATGCAAAATTTTGCCACAAATCAGCAATTGACGTGTTCTTGTTCCTCATTACGATATAATCACAATTGTTTAATCTTGTGTAGAATTTGCGCATAACTTTGAACATCGATTACAAAATTAGCAAATTTGAAATACAATGCACTATATACTTCAATGTCTCAGGTGCGTCTTCCACAATGACGACCATAGCGTTCATCCTGGAAAAGGTCCTGTGGATGTAGCGTAGGTCAGGGAGGGGCAGGTGAGTTACGGCGAGGAGTCTCGTCGACCACACCAGGAGGTGGCCCTTGAGGGACCACTCGGCGAAGGTGGCGAGGAAGGCTGGGTCGTCGCTCACCACCACCACCGTCACGCACCATGACACCTGCCGCAGCTGTTGACGTCAACATGGAAGAAGTTATGTGAGAGTGACCTACCCGCCTCAGTAGTAATGTGAGAGTGACCTACCCGCCTCAGATATAATGTGAGAGTGTCCTACCCGCTTCAGTAGTAATGTGAGAGTGACCTACCTGCCTCAGTAGTAATGTGAGAGTGAGCTACTCGCCTCAGTAGTAATGTGACAGTGACCTACCCGCCTCAGTAGTAATGTGACAGCGACCTACCAGCCTCAGTAGTAATGTGAGAGTGACCTACCCTGCCTCAGTAATAATGTGAGAGTGACTACCCGCCTTAGTAGTAAGTAAGTGTGACCTTCCCGCTTCAGTGCACAATGAGAGTGACCTACCCGCCTCAGTAGTAATGTGAGAATGACCTACCCACCTCAATAGTAATGTGAGAGTGACCTTCCCGCCTCAGTAGTAATGTGAGAATGAACTACCAACCTCAATAGTAATGTGAGAGTGTCCTACCCGCTTCAGTAATAATGTGAGAGTCACCTACCCGCCTCAGTAATAATGTGAGAGTGACCTACCCGCCTCAGTAGTAATGTGAGAGTGACCTACCCGCCTCAGTAGTAATGTGAGAGTCACCTACCCGCCTCAGTAGTAATGTGAGAGTGACTTACCCGCCTCAGTAGTAATGTGACAGTGACCTACCCGCCTCAGTAGTAATGTGAGAGTGACCTACCCGCCGAGCCTCGTCGACCACCCGGGAGAGCTGCGCCTGCGTCACGTTAGCGTCCTGGCCGTCCACTGCCACCTCGAACAGCCCCACACCACAAGGGTCCCGGAACTGATCCATGAAGTCCTGCAATAATATCGTATCGTTCACACAAGAACTATTAGTTGAATATCATAGTCCAGCAGCCAAACCCTGATTTTTCAGCGAACCTAGAAGTAGCGTCCACATAATGTTTTTGTTTTTTTCGTGTTTTCTGAGTAACTTGAATCAAAATCCGGATGATGCCACCTGAGCATCCTTGAGGAATTTGTGAAATTCAAGATGGTGGCCATCCGCCAGAGTAGAAAACTCATTTCTCGGCTATAAATCATCTCTTCTTGGTGCCAAAACACATGATTTTAATTCCAGTGCGTGTAATTGTCAAAACAAAATTGCACTTTTTATATTTTTATTTGATTTTTGTGTAAAGTACCCCATAATAGTTGGTAAGAATCATAAATTTTACAAACTATCATCATTTAATTGTTAAACAAATTCTTCTTTTCTTTGTACCTGACGGTGAGTTATAACTCGAATAGATGAAGCAGTATCCGATATCTGATGAAAGACAGAGTAGAGATCGAGACTCTAAATTTACGAATCGATTTATTGAATACTAATGATCATCCAAGTGAACTAATCAACATCGTATCTGGCAAGAAACAAATGAATAAATATGAATCAACATAGCCAGGAGGATTTATGGACTTGTAACTAACAAAGTAAAGACGATGTCAAGTGATAAAAAGCACATAAAGGCTGACAGTGGAACATCTTCCATCAAGAGTTCATCTATGGAGGGATGATGGGTTTGGTGAGTACAAGGAAGATTAATATCAAAGAAGTTTTCAGCTATGAACTTGTACAAATTCCAACAACATTGTTTGATGAACATGAAAACATGAGAATCGCACAAACAAAATCTATCTTGAAAATGGAACTTCAAATTAAAAAAAAAAACTTTTAATAATCGATGGATGACCCTCTGTGTGTTTGGTGTAAAACTTAGTGGATTCGTTTACTACCTGAAGTATAGCACCAAAAGTTGAACAAGGTAGATCGTGCAGGCATCAGAGAAAATCGAAAACATAAATCATGCCTATCAACCTCTCTCCCTCCCCAACAAACAGTTTTGACAGTAACAAAAAATAAAGTACAGATCATCATATCAAATATGAAGCCCTCTTTGAGGGTGTGATGATATCCAGAGATGATATGAAGATATCACATGAATAGTCAGATGTAATTATTCTACACCAAGTGTTCATTGGGGCAGGAGATGGTGCTCAGTGCACCATTGTGCTTTCTGATGACATTGATGTGTTCGTTCTCCTGTTTCACAACTATGATGAAAGGAAAATGCAGTGCACACTCCTGATGGAAGGAGGCAGTAAGAAATGAACTACGATACACATAGGAGTCACTACAAATCAACACACAAACATTGTGTTTTGGATGTGAAACAGCCGCCTATATGTGGGGTGTACCGTGTTGGAAAATGTTCAGTTCTGAAGGCAATCCATGCACGACACAACTTGGTCTACCTTGGTGACCCATCAGCATACATGAATGACATCATAAGAAAAACAACTGTTGCTGTATGTTATAGAGTAAGTACAAGCAATACGGACGACATGTCAGCAGTTAGGTATAGGGTATAGCTCAAACGGGTGGGGAGAGGAAAGTCAATTGTCTTGAAGCAAAGAGCGCCCCCACCAACAACAATACAGAGAAAAGTATTGTATATTGTTATATTACCGAATTAAGTAACACTAGCTTCACCTGCCGTAATGATCTCCTGTGGATGTGTAAATGAGCTAGTATGCTCAACTGTAAGGGGTGGATGTGCTTCAGCACAAATGGCTTGCAATGTATTTTGAGGATGCTATTCGAGTGCAATTTGAAACAACAAAAGGACAAAATAAATCAACAAAGTTAATGATGATAATGGTGATGATGTACAGTCCCGTTTTCTTTACTGGGGCTCGTCAGGTTTTGTGCACTGTAGCAGCCCTGTGTTATTTACATTCGACAAAAGGAAACTCTTAATCGTTAACATACAATGGAAAAATATTAAAAAAATATTAAAACAAATATTGTGGAATGTCTTATGACGACCCTTGTGAACGCACTAGTGAAGGCGACTGTAAATTTTGAAGGAAGAGCTCATAATACTTTCTAAATGAATATATGTTAATACGCGGAAACATTAGGAATGGACAAGAGCATCATACGATTCAATGTAACTATGTTATAATAACTTTACACAAATATACATTAGAGCATGTATGTATGCATATCACACACACACACACACACACACACACCAAAACAAAACAACACACACACACACACACACACACACACACACACACACAGACACACACACACACACCAACACAAAACAACACACACACACACACATACTATTTACTTACTACTATTTTACTGTCACCCGGAATCGAGGATTACGATCATCCAGCTATGATACAATGATGTGAGCTATTAAGGATGTCACCTAGGTTGGTGAGTTCTGAGGTGACTAAAGAGGCCGATACGGGACCGGCAGTGTCGTTCACAGATGTTTCACTTGGGGAGGGCTACATCTAGTGCGGGAGGGGCGGCGGCAACGTCTTTCCGGCGTTGGCTCTTGTCTGCCTCTGTATGCGATCGGGCTAACTCGATAGTATTGCCTTGGGTTACAGTTGATGTAAATCATAAATGTTATTTATTTATAGCGTATGTGTGTAAATAAAATATAAGTTATCATGATATATTTAAATAATAGTAATAGTAATAATAATAAAAATAATAATAATAATAAACGGTCGCAGCCGGTGGCTGAAAATATACAAACTTACATGTGATTTAGACATAATGATATGCG